GGATTTCTTAAAGTAATTATCATCAGCTTATAAGGTATGTAACATTTTCATTTTAACTTTTAATTAATATATCATGCATGTGTTGAATTATGATTATTATGAATGAGCTTATACCCGTAGTTTATAATTTCAAGGTTTACTAGTTGAATGTACTTGCTTAGTCAATAAATAAATAATTTTTTTACATTTTTTAATCTTCAGGCCCAATGAATACAGAAAATAGAAATTGGATGTATAATCAATATGTTGGCAATGGTAGAGGATTGACACATGAGTTTAAGAATAGAGTTACTGAATTTGTTAAGTGGGCACAACAACAAACACGATACATGGATGGAAATAAGATAAAATGTTCGTGTAAGAAGTGTAAAAATAAAAAAAAAAATTGCTTCGTGAGGACGTGTGTTGGGATTTATATACTAATGGTTTTATCGAAAACTATTACAATTGGACTTCTCAAGGAGAACCGATTGAGGCATGTTGTTTGCTTCAAGCTGTGGGAACATCTTACTATGTTCCCGACGAGATGGCTGCCTAGGGAAATTATGCAGATATGGAATGGGAGCAAAGAATGCTTTATGATTTGGTTGGTTCTTCTGCATTTCACAATACTCAAGTCTTTATCAAACACATAATTCTATTTTTCTTAAAAACTACATCACTCTCTTCCGTCCCAATATTAGGGGGCGGAGGGAGTAACTTTTGAACTCTAATTTTATCATTCATTAAGATTTCACTTATAATGTGTCTTAAAAATACAAGAGTAATTTTTCCCGGGCATCGCACGGGTTACATACTAGTTTCAATTTTAAAAGTGCATTTGATGAGGTGGAATCACAATGAAGAGAGGGAATCTATTCAAAATTAAATACTCACTGATTGATATGTATAAACGCAATAGTTATCACTATATTGAGGAGTTCTATGGTGCACCCCTTAATTTGATTGTACCATAAGAGGGCCAATAATATTGTACCACATGGAAAATAATTAAAATATATATGGATTTAATATCCATGTGGCATTGTTTTATTTGGCTACATAAGAAAGTGTACCATACATGCAAAATTTAGAGGTGGACCATAGAATTTCCCCACTATATTTCCATAACGCAACTAGCTTTAGAAATAAGCATTCTTACGAACATAAACAAAAGCACAAATAATACCAATTAAACACATTGTTAATTACCATTTGTCAAACAAAAGAAATAGGCAGATTAAATAATAATTTCAAAAAAAGAATGTAATTAAGCCACAGTTGGATAGGAAGCACTCATGGCAAGTCCACAGAGTCCCTTCGTGTCAGAAATGCCTCTTTCCATTCTAATGTAACCCATTTCGCCCCATTCAAGCCCCCACGAGTTCTTTACCACCCAATAATCTGTGCCGTTGATAGTTTTTCCATACCCGACGATCGCGACGTCGTGATTAAGCTGGGTCCCGCAGCTGCCGGAGAACACGCCGCTGCGGTAGAACTGGAATGCGGACGCCGGTTGGCCTACGTCAATTGAGACGGAGACCGGCTGGTTAGCCACGGCCTGTAACAAAGCCGTCTCGTTATTAACTGGAACGAGTTCATAGCCCGTGATCCCGGCCGCCGGCGATATTCTGTTGCGGCAGCCGGTCCTGTTTAATCCCGAATATGGGTAGCTGTGATCATCTGTGAGACCCTTGTTGTTGATGATATACTCGAAAGCTTGGCCCACACCTCCTCCGTTCTTGCAACCCATATTCATGGTGTTGCAATCTATCAGTTGTTGTTCAGAGAGTGAAATTAGGTTCCCCGTTGATATTGCGTGTATGCCCTCCACCGCCGCAACAGCAGAAAATGCCCAACAGCTTCCTGTGCATGCACAGTATTTTTATTATAGGGAGTGTTCCAAAACATCATTCTTCCTTTTTCAAATGGGTGATAATTAAGTTTTCACCAATCATTTTTGTTATTTTATTTTTGGAAAGTTATAAATTTTATACGTAGTACTTTTTAAAAAGAAAAAGAAAATATAATACTCTAACTTTTGAAATGGTGTGAGGTAACTACCCCACTTATACATGTAATACTTCGTTTGTATATCTCGAACTTTATATAAAAAAGTTATCTTAAAATCATAGAAAATATATTTTTTTCTTTCATAAATGTAAATTTATGGTGTAAAATACATAATTTTGAATACTTTTTTAATTACTTTTAGCATTCGTGAGAATACAGTTATCATTCTAAACATTCATTGTGAAATAAATAACACGAAGTAATATCTTGTCCATATAATTATTGCACCACTTTGATATTTGTCGTCACATGACTTTCATTATCAACATATCTAGTTTACCTTATAGTATTCAAACACTCTACTTTGAATTTATTTTAAACATTGATTTATTCGCCAATTTCTCAGACAAAACACTATAAATGTTGTACCGAATAAAAAAATTAAAATATGACATTTTACACTCTGTAATTTTTACTAATAATCAATGTTAATAGTCAAAGGCCCCATTTGGGTAATGGCGTTTTAAAAAAAAACGTTGTTATTTTTTGAACTACAATCCTATTTTTCCGTGTGTAGATACCAACCTGATAGAAAACATACATGGCCAAACTCGTGTATTGACAAATATAAAATTGAAAGTATTGCAATTATATATAGACTGAGGCAATATTAGTTACGCTACTTCACAAATATATTTATTGAATTAATATTTACATTTACTTTATTGTAATTTTAATAACCCAACTATCCACCCCTACCCCCACCGCACACTCCTGACTCATGTGTCGCTGTTGTTTCTAGCAACCACTACCTTTGGCTACTACCGGAAACTGCTGCTTCTGTCGAGTACCGGAAAACTTTAATGTACTGGAATTTTTATTTTTTATTTTTAATTTCCTCTAGAAACTTTTTGGCTTTACGGCAAGAGTGACACTACATGGTGGCAACAATGGCATCTAAAGTCATTGGCAAGAGTGACACTCATGGCCGGATCTAGGGGTGGGCCAACCAAGGCCCTGGTTAACCCAAATTTTAAAAATGCTTTAATTTTTAAGGTATAAAGTTCTGAGTAAATTTTTTTCCAAAAAAAATATTTGTACCGGCCCAGTACGGGCCAGTGCCCCGGTTCCGCCCCTTATGACGCTAGTACATGGTGGCAAATGGCAATAATGACATCTAAAGTCATTTGCTACCCGGCACAAATGTATTGGTTTTTTATTCCACGTCAGACATCATAAAAAATACCTCTAAATTGCAAAAAAAAAGTCCCTCCTTAATTAGGTTAATTAACTGTAAAGAACAGCATATCATCGGAAGTTCGTAAGCATCCCATCGAACAAGAACACTGCGATCTAACCTAACCTTCACCGGCCTTGAGGTCTTCCCATTTGATTTACCGAAATCAAATAAACTAGGGCTACGGAAACGAAATTTTAGGAGTCTTCTTGGATTCTTTATTTTTTATTTTTCTTATTTCGGAGTCTTGTAATCATCTTCTTCCTATCGTGTTCGTCAATTCTATCTTCAGCGACTCATCTTCTTCCTCCTATATGTCATTGTTTGAAGCTTTTTTCTGAAATGCTGAGCTTTCAATATGAAAAAGGAACACCAGATCTAATTCTTTAGGCCGCATGTTTTATACTATATATGTATAATTTAGCAACCCAATAACCTCAACTGAAATTAGAGAACTTATTTAATAGGAAATTGTATATGATCGTAGTAAACTATAAATGGAGAATTTTAGACTCTTGTTCCTTTATTTGGGGTTCTTGAAGAATCATCTTTCCCATATTTGATTTTGGGCAAAAATGCAGATTCAACTGGAGAATTTAATAGACCATTATAATCTATGTATTTCAGTTATTTTAATTAAAGGAAACGAGCATGCATAAATTGAGTATAGAATTAGGTTCAATCCTACTTAAAGAAGATTACAAATTATTAGAGTATTTGAAAAAGATGAAGGAAGATCGGAAGGATAAGTTTACACGGGTGCCAAAGTGAAAGGACATGTGTACAAAGGACCGCTATGCATTTTTCATAATTTATTTATAATTAATTTAGAGATAGTAGCGATATGGAAATATATAAGGTAGATTCTATCGTACTCATAAGGTATCATACCTTTGTTTACATGGACCAATGAAAATGTAGCAGTTGAATTATTTAAATCTAAATTAAAAATAATTAAGTGATGTGGTCCAATCAAATGAATAGTAAGTACGGTACCATAAATTAAAAATCTAATAGTTAACTAATAGAATAAGCAACAAGTCAAATGCACCAAAACAGTATATAGAGTACACGGAACATCCAGCTCTCCAACTAATAATGAACACCTGGCCTACATACCGAAATTGCAGTATTAAATCAAAAAATCTTTTTCTTTGGACGACTAACTAAATAAGTTTTATTTAGGAAATAAAAAAGTCCTATTTTGGAATTTTAAAATGTTTTTAAACAATTTCTAAAGTATTATCCCAAAGGTCAGTTCCAAAGAAAAAGTAATATCCCAAAGGTTATGCACGGTTATTGTACAATTCAGTTAGCATCACATGTATCTGCTTAGATATTATCTCTTCCTAGTATAGTGGAAGAATACACGATAAAATTTTGTCTCCCTAATTGGTTACAAAATATTATCCCAAACGTATTAACCAAAGGTTACAAAATAGCATCTAAGTAAATATTATCTCTTCCGATCCTAATAGGTTACATAAGAATACACGATTAAATTTTGTCTCCCTAAAAGAATTATCTCTTCCTACGTAACTACTATCACAAACGTAATATAGTTGCTTGTAACTCTAACTCTTATTGTACTACTATTTTTAAAGTGAAGTAATGAGATGAAAGAGATACGGCAAATATTATTTAATATCTATTTCTTTTTTTTCTTTTTTTTTTAATATCTATTATTTAATATCTATTTCTTTTATAATTATGTATTGTGTAGTATTTAATAATTTTTTAATCATATGTAGTCTAATAATTGGATACGTACCACATTGGCCTTGATCCTTTACCGGAGTAACAGCTCCTTTGTTCTTCCAATTGAGGCTCCTTGGAATTGCAGTGAAATTGTTGTATCTAAAGGTGTTGGGGGGAGAAGGCGTACCATCATCATTAAGACTATGAATAAGAGGACTTTTGTAGCCAGTGGCTCGGAGGGCTCGAAATTCGTGATTAGTCAAATCAGCAAACTTATTGACGCCGAGCCTGAAAGACCAGCTCTTCTCCCGGTTGAAGGCGTGAATGAACTCCAGGTTCTCTTTGAATACCGCAAAACGAAACTCCTTCTCCATCTCGTTTTCATACACGCGTCCATGATAATTCATCCATTTCTCGTGCTCCTCCCACGTTATGGTTAGCAGCGACGAGGTTGGAGTGATGATCGTCGTCGTTACAAATATGATCTGGCAAATCAAGACTAGGCAACTAAATCTCTTCAATCTCATTGATGATGAACCCATCATATATATATTATTGCACATATATCTATAAATATAACGTATATGCAATTAAGCTCTAGTATATAATATACTCCGCTGGCAAGAGTCCGGGTATTTATACACCATATTTCAAATGGATAAGTACATACGTCATAAGTTATGCAACCTCACTAGACTCACTAGAGTAGAGGACTTTAGTGAGAACAATTCTGAGAATATAATACGGAATATTTTTTCAATATTTTTTCTATATTGAACAATATTACCCCATATTGTTCAGATTATTTATGACTTGCCTGCAGTGCCAAAAAAACGGGAATAACTCTAGGTTTTCACGGATTACGGGAGTCGGAACACTCCATTCTGACTGTATTAGGGTTTACTCGAATACTCCAAAAAATAAAAGTTAGTCGGAATTTCCAATTAAGAATATATACAATTTTTTTATGATTTAATTGTAGTCGGAAACCCACAATTCCGAATGTAGTGTGTTTTTTATTTTGTAAAGCTACTAGTGGGATTGTGCATTTCCAACGGAGGTTTATTTGGTTTTAATTATATCTATCGTTCTATATAGTAAACTTGAGTTAAAAAACAATGATGTGTCAATCTCTAATTGGTTAATTAAATCTTTTTTATGACAACTGTTAAAACAATTAATGAATTCTAATTGATCACGACATCTACCATCAATCGTGAATAACAACGGCTGCAAAAAGGACTCTCATTTGGAGCAAAAAAACTATTTTTTTAAAAAGTGACATAACTTTTGTGTTTGTACTCCAACTTTTACAAAACATATATCAAAATTCATAGTTTTATATGAACTTTCATATGACACCAATATTGTCATATATAAAAATAAAAAATTATTATCAATTTTTTTTAATATAATAAAGCTGAGTTAGAAATTTTATTTAATAACAAAAATTCTATTACCCTTCCTACTACAACATTTAATTTTTTTAAGTTGACTCGGTTCATCATTGCTATTTACTCCGTGTATGACACTACTCATTTGGAGAAAGAAAAAAGAAAAATCTCCTTTTTTTTGTATTTCAATAATTTTTATAAAAAATACATCTAAATCCATAACTTCTTATGATATTTCATATGACACAAATATTGTATATATAAAAAATAAACTATTTTTTTATATAGTAAAGTTGAGTTAAAATAAACTATTGTTTTATATAGTAAAGTTGAGGTGTCAATCTCTTATTGACTAACAAAAATAATTAATATCAATACTTAAATGTTACAAAATACATACGAAAAAGACTCCCAATATTTTCAATATCATCAAATACGTAATACTCCGTAATAGGGTTTTGACTTTTCAATTCTTATCAAATGAAACGATAAAAAAATGCTTATCAAATGAAATTTCAATGCAATAAAGCACATGCGAATAGGACTCTCTATGATGATGATGATACGATGATGATGATGGACAAAAATATTACGTAATAACTATTAGTGACTATAATTATGTTAAAACTTTACACCGTAGTAACTTACATGTAACTACTAAGATTTAAATCTGAACACAAGTATAGTCACTAAGTAATATTTTTGTTCATCACATTTTAAAAAATAATATTAATGGATTTTTTGTCATAATAATAATAAAAAACAATAATAACAACAATATTAATAACAATAGTAATAATTTAATAACAACAACACTCTGTAATAATTATTATAATAATATTTATTAATAATAATAGTAATTATATCCTAAGTCTATCTTCATAGTAATTAATATAGACATTTGTAGAAATTAAAGTATGCATAATTATTTAAATATAATTTATTAGCATAATATCACAAGTGAATGGACAATTAGAATAAAATTAAAATAAATCCGAAGCTAAAACTATATGCGAATAAAGCATTGATGGTCGCAATATTTTTAGAGGAAAGCACAATATTTTTTAGAGCAAAAAACTTATGCTACGTATAAAATATCAACCCCAGTAAGAATCACAACTCCCCAAGATCTTAATTCAAATTCTAAAGAGGATACTCATAATAACAATCATCTATAACAACAATAACAATAACAATAACAATAACAATAACAACAACAATAACAACAACGGCTATTATTTATACATTACACTTTTATTATTGTTCAATTATGCACAACTGCAAGAATAACAATAATGTACTCTCACCATCCCAATTTGTTTTACAAAAATGGTTGACGCGGTTGATTGAATATAAAGATAATCTTTCTCAACTTCTTTTACAAAAACTATATATCTGCAAAATATATTAATTAAAAGTTCTATTGAAACGCAAATGATCACATATTTAAAGTGATTACAAATCTAAAATCAAATTAGAGAAATAATAAAATGATATTGTATCAACCAAACATATGGGGACATATGTTTTTTTAGTCCCATAGCTTTTGAGCATATTTGTGTGTCCCGTACGTAACTTTTGAGCGTGTTTGTTATTAATCACGCAACTTTACTCATTTACATATTTGGATGTGTAATCGCTAAATTTGTCCACATTAAAGACTTTTCGGTCGGAAATAGACTTTTCGTAGTAAAAATCAGTAAAGCGAGCATTGGCGTCAACTTTCAGGACTAAATTTAATTTCCTCAATAAATACATGAAATTTACTACAGTCATATGTATTAAGAGTATCTCCAATGCTAAAACGTTAACGGTGCATACGTGGCATGAGAAATAACCAATAAAAAAATAATAAATAGATTATCTCTCCTTATTTGTAGGATCTTACATCATTTTGGTAAGTTTTTCTTCACAATGTCAAGCACAATGTCTAGATGTAGACATTGTGGTTGACATTGCAGACATTGTGGTTCCATTATGTAGTGTAACCGCATCAGGCCAATGGAGGTGAGATTTGAATTCACTTGGAAAATCTACTACGTAAGCCAATGAAATAACGTGGCTGCAACGGGGTCATATCGGATCGTATCAGAATATCAACACGAATTATTTTCTTATTTTTTTCTAACGTAAAAATGAATTACATCGCGTCGATCAAAATACGCATCGCAACGGCCGCAATAGCCGCAACCACAGTGACCGCAATCAAAAACGCTATCACAATAAAAAAGTGTGATACTCCGTATAGACTAATTCACTCATTAAAGAGTAAATATATAATATATGATAATGAATAATTTAATATATATTCATTTTAACAAATACAAATTAATTTTGATTATGGTTAGATCCAGGGGCGGACCTATGTGTTAATGAGGGTCAGCATTGGCTTCACCTCAATAATTGTTACTAGCCTATTTGGCAACACTGATGATATCAAAACTCTTCCTTGGCTTCATGTCAGATGTTCGAAACCTTCAAGTGCTACACCCTTTGTTTGATATTTTTTGAAGTGCACTGCCTTATTGCTCCATCCTCTTTATTTTTTTAGTATATGAAGTGCTATTCCGCTATTTGCCCCAGGTTTTCAAAAGCAGCGAATTCACTCCTATTGTCCTACATCATGTTTTTTAAAATCGTATTATTATTAAAGACTTACTCAGTCCTAACTCCTACATCATATAGTTACTCCTTCCCTTCTTAATTAACTGTTCTTTTAGCTTTAAAAATAATTAACTGTTCTTTCAGAGTTTTAGGCTTGTGCGTGGGTTTTAGATAAAAATAGTAGGGGTATTATAGAGTGAGTAGAGTAAATGATAAAGTAGGAAAGGGAGTATATTAAGAAGAGTAAAGTGATGATAAAGTAGGAAAAATGATAAAGTAGGAAAGAGAATATATTAACAAGATTGAAGTGATAATAAAGTAGGAATGAGAAAGTAGTATATACTCCGTATAAGTAAAAGGGGTAAAAGCAATAAAAGTGAGTGCATTTATCTCAAGAACTTTCCTAATATGGAAGAAATACAAGTATTAAAAAACAGATCAAAGTGGAATAAGAAACAGTTATTAAAGAACGGATGGAGTATTAAAGAATTGTTTTTACTATTTCCTCTCTCCCAAAATGATTTGCAAAATCAATTTTAACGATCAATATAGTTTCATTTTATTTACTTATCTAACAAATCAATTTTTTTATTATAGTTTAAATTGAACTTTGAGACTTTACGGAACTATGTATTTTTCAAATATGTAAATTTTAATTATAAAAATGATTTAATTGTCTACAGGGATGATAATACGTATCATCGATAAAAAATTGAATAATCAATTCCAGTTAAAAATATGAAAGAATGGCAAAAACAGGATCAGTGACTTTTGACTGGATAAAAACAAGACCGGTTTAAACCTGGACAAAAATAGGACCAACCCGTCGCCTTCCTTCTTCCGCAGCGCATCTCCGCAGATCTGCGCATTCCTTCTTCAACGCATCTACCCACCATCCATCTCCATCGCACCTCATCTCATCTCTATCACATCTGCTCTTTTCTCCAACGCCACCACAGTTCTCGCTCCTGCTGCTGACCATTTCCCACGCCGTCGCTCCATATGGCGCTGCAGATCCAAGTTTCACAACTGCTCCAATTTGATGAATACTTTAGGGCGGCGATGACTGGGTACGGGATGAAGGCTGGGGATTTGGGGGAGAAGGCTGGACAGGGGCGGTGGGGGACGGGGGCGGCAGTGGGACTGGTTGGTGTAGGCTAGAGGGAACTGTGGGAGAGTGTTGGGGGAGTGGGGTAGGCTGGAGGCCAGGGGACTGTGGGAGGATGTTGGGGGCTGTGGGAGGATGCTGGAGAGCCTGGGGGCTGTGGGAGGGTGATGGAGGGACTGTGGGGGCTGTGGGAGGGTGCTGGAGGGGGCTGGGGAGGGGGCTGTGGGTGCTGCTGGTGGGTGAGGGGCGGTGGCTGTCACCTCCGGGTGGCGGCAGCTATCCCCGTCGAAAGGCAGCGGCGATCAATGCAAGGTCGAATTGGTCATGGCTACTCGTCGGGACATTGATCGGATTGATCATTGCCACTTGTTGGATTGGGTCACGGGTGGATTTGTCATAGGTCGGTTTGGTCACAGACGGTTTGGTCATGGGTGAATTGGTCGATTTGGTCATGATCATTGGGCGGTTTGGTCACGGATGGTTTGGTTATTGGGCGGGTTGGTCATTGAATGAGTAGGGTAACTGTAACCGGATGAGTCAGGTAATTGTAACTGGACGGGTCGGGTAATTGTAACTGGACGTGTGAGGTAACTGTAACTGCACGGGTCAGGTAACTGTAACTGGATGCGTCGGGTAACTGTATCTGGACGGGTTGGGTAATTGTAACTAGATAAATTGGGTAACTGTAACTGGACGGGTCGGGTAATTGTAACTGGACAGATTGGGTAACTGTAACTGGACGGG